GTCAGTTTTAGATCTTTCCTGCTTTCTCTTGTGGGCATTTAGTGCTATAAATTTCCCTCTATACACTGCTTTAAATGTGTCCCAGAGATTCTGTTATGTTGTGTCTTTGTTCTCATTGGTTTCAAAGAATGTCTTTATTTCTGCCTTCATTTCGTTACATACCCAATAGTCATTCAGGAGCAGGTTGTTCAGTTTCCAAGTAGTTGAGCAGTTTTGAGTGAGTTTCTTAATCCCAAGTTCTAATTTGATTGCACTGTGGTTTGAGAGACAGTTTGTTATAATTTCTGTTCTTTTACATTTGCTGATTTCACTTCGTTCTCTTCTTATTCGCATGGTTTCTGATGAGTTGTTCTCTGTAATTTTTCTGCTTTTTCATTTATGGATATTTTCCCTATTCTTCTAGCTTCTTTCAAGATTTCTCATTTTTTTTTTCTTTTGAGCAATTTGAATATATGCCTAGATATAGAGTTTTTGGTATTTATGCAAATTGGTGTTCTCTGAGATTCTTAAATATATGGTTTGTTGTCTAATTAATTTTGGCAATTTCTTGGTGACTGTTACTTCAAATACTCCCTAAGCTTGATTCTGTCTTCTTCTGATACTTCAGCTGTGTGTGTGATGCACCACTTCGGACTGTCCCACTGTTCTTTGGTGTTCTGTTTTATACATTGTTTTGTTCTTTTTGCATTTCAGTTGTAGAAGTTTCTATTATCCTGTCTTTAAGTTCACTGATTTTTTTTTTCCTATGCTGTGTCCAACAATGTACCCAACAATGGCATTCTTTATTTCTGTTACAGTGTTTTTGATATCTAGCATTTCGTTTTTATTATCCCTTGTTTTATTATCCCTATCTGTGCTTGCATAATGTTTTCTTTTTCCTTTAGAACCCTCAACACATTAGTCATAGTTACTTAAAATTGCCTGTCTAGTAATTACAAAATCTGTTTCATATCATAGTTTGGTTCTGATGCTTGGTTTCTCTCTTCAAATTACCTTTTGAAATTCCTTGTAATTTTATATTGAAAGCTGGACATGGTATACTGAGTAATAAGATTCAGGTAAATAGACTTAGTGTGAGGTTTTACGTTGTGCTGTATTTCATATTTACTTTAGCTGTGGGTGCCAGAGGCATTGATTCCTCTAGTATCCTTGTTTTTGCCTCACAGTCTTTTTTGGTATCTCCAGAAACTCTTTAGGTGAAATCTGTCTTGCAGCTCTTTCAGATGTTGGTGCCGTGGTGGTGGTGTGGTAAAGTATGGGGGAGGAGAAGCATGCTATATTTTTATGATAAACTTTTAGTCTTTAGTGAGCTTGTATTTCGGTACTGTGACCTTCACTCGTGTTTCTTTCTCCTCCCGGTTAGATGAGACAGACTGGCTACAGGAGGCTGGAGTTGGGAACTTCTCTTTCCAGATGGAATACAGTGTTCTGATTAAGCCATTTCTTCCGGAGAGTTTGCCTTTTTTGTGGCTAATGCTCTGGGCATATTTCACAATGGTTACTTTTCTCCTCTCTTCATGCCTTGAGAGGGTCTTTCTTGTTTCTTTACTGATAATCTGGTGGGATATCTGGAATCTGGTCGTATATCCATGCAAGTGTGGAGGTAGCCCCTAAGACTGAGGGGCCCTCTAGGAGTTGCTCACTCCTAAGCTAGACCTCAGTCAGCCTCCAGCAGTTTGTCAAAATTATCACTACTATTTCTAGAGGCTGCTACTCCAGGTAGGCAGATCTTGGCTGTAACTTTTTGGATTTGTTTGTCTTTCCAGATTTCAGGGTGATGATTTGCCTTGTAATATCAGTTTTCTGATGAGTCCAAGAAAAGTCACTGATTTTTTCTGTTTGTTCTGCCTTTTTCTTATTGTAAGGACAGGAGTGATGACTTCCAAGTTTTTTTTTTACATGTCAGAGTTGAAATTGAAGGTCCTATAATTCCTTTTATATTTTAACATTTTTAGTTTTCTCATTTTTTCATTTCAGAATTTCACCACAGTGGTACTAGTTATGATGGCAAGAACAAGGAAAAATAATACTTTTTACATTATAAATGGTACTGAGAATATGAACAAGGAGATGTTTGTGTTGCTAGATAGCTAGGTGAGTGAACAGGAGTTTATCCTTCTATATTTTTTGTGAATCCTGAAAGATTTCTAGGAATCACCAACTGAAAAATGTTGGGACACATTTGTCTAGATCAGAGATTGGCAGATTTTTCCTGAAAAGAGCTAGATAGTAAATATTTTATGCTTTGCAGGCCATGTTGTCTCTGTTGTAGCCACTCAGCTCTGCAGTTGTAGCACAAAAGCAGCCACTGATAATACTTAAACAAATGATTGTGACCATATTTCAATAAAAGTTTATCTACAGATACACAGTGTGGGCCAGATTTGACCCATGGCCATATTTACCAATTTGTGGTCTAGAAGAACAGTTTTTAATGTTTTTGTTCCATAGCTCTCATCCCGTACTGAATATCAGTAGATGGTGGCCATGTTTTATTTGCATATATTTTACCATATTCAGGTATTGTCCCATGTTTGGATAAAGGTTTTCATATATTAATCAAAAGGGTTCAAAAGGTCTTAAGAGGCAGAGGTCCAGGCTTTATTTGTGAGTTTAAAACCTACCTCAAAGTTGCCGTAAAAATGTGATTCTTCTTCACGTAGTTCATAACAAAAAAAAAATCTACAATTGCATGTGGTATGTTAATTTTAAAATAAGTACTTTTATCATTTCGCTTTATAATGTAGGCATATCAGGTGTTTTAAAAGTGAGGTAACAAGTGTTGCCCAAGATCAATAGATGGGACCAGGACTGGAATCCCAACAGCAACCTGAGTTCCAGTGTAGAGCTCTTTTCAACAAATAATGTATGATATCACCCATGGCAGTTGGAGCCATGTCATGGAGCCAGTAGATTGAAGATTAATCTTCAGATATTAGTTCTGGGGCTTTATTCTTAATAAGAAAAGTGAGATACTGTTTGTTTTAGACAATTCTATGTTGGGCATTATTTCAAACCATCTTGGAAGACAGACAGAAATAGATGTTCAAGTGACCAAAATGAACCCGATGAGTGATTTTGCATATTATAGAATATTTAAAGCGAAAGGGATCTTAGAGACCATCTAACTCAAATATCGAATTTTAGAGATAAGAAACCTGAGACATGGAGAAGCTAGGTAGCTTGGGGGCCAATATGGTTTAATAAAAGAGAATAATAATCCTGGAAGGTCATAACAGAAGTATGCTAGGACTGGCTTGCTCTAGCTTCAGAGAGTTAATTGTTAAATTTTTAGCAGTTTTTGTGAGCCAGTTATTAAAAACTTTTACAATGAAAAATTACATATAAAGTCACACATTGTATTAAAACAAAGGTATTTATATGCCTAATCTCTATCACTAATTATTTTGCTATGTATTTCTGTTATCTGTGTTCTCGAGGTTGTTTACATCTGCTATATCTATATGGTGGAAATGTTTTATATTGGTGACCTCCCCAACTCTGTTCAGTGGGTGTCATATTGATAGCTTAAAAATGACCACAGGCTAGCATTTACACCATGAAAATTGGCAAACATTATGGCAAACTCACCCCTGCTGGGCCCTGGACCCCAAGTCAATTGATTAATATTTACCAGTGTGTCACTAGTTATGACTTCTGTGTTCTGTGCTTATTTATGTGTTTAGTTTTGCTGCCAGACTGTGAGTTCCTTATGGTTTGGAACTTACATCTGTAGAATCCAGCACAATACTTGGAGTTTAGTTGACAGACAAATGTTTTTAATTATTTAGTCTTTGGTTCAAATCCTGGCTCCATCACTTACCTATCAGTATGACCTTGGTTATTTTAACCTCTGCTTATTATTTAAAATGGAAATCATAATACCAGCCGTTCATGATTGGTGTGAGTATTAATGAGAAGACCTTGACGTGTGTCTGGTATACAGTAGGTGCACAGAAGTAGTTGATTACTACTGTTATAACCTAAGAAGTCGACATAAATGCCATTAGGGTTCAGGCTTACACTGTATGTAGAGCTTTGTATTAAGTGTTTGACCACAAACTGGATGAGAATCAGGAATGTGGTACTGTTATTTTTGTGTGCATATATACTTCTCCTTCCCACACAAAATAATGAGATAAATTAAAAGGAATATGATATATAAGAAGCAGGAAGCAATCCTTCTGTTATATTTGGCATTGCTCAGACTCTCATTACAGTATTATGTCCAGTTTTACATTGCTCATTTTAAAGAGGATGTCAAAAAACTATATGTAGTGTGTCCTGGGAAGAATCAGCAGCTATGATTAAAGGGATAGAAAAATAGGCCCTTTGAGGCAAGTTTAAGGAACTGAGTTTGTTTACTCTGGAAAGGAGATGGTAGAGGAGTTACTTAACTATCTTCAAGTATATGAATGGTTAGTTTAAGAAAGATGCTCTCAGGTTCTCCAAATGCACAGTGGACTAAAAGAGGAAATCGACATTTCATTTAAAGAAAATTGTATTAAACACTTAAATTGTCTATCAAGGGATATCATGGAATCTTTGTTTTTGAAAATGTTTAAAAAGAGTAGCAGCAGATGAATATTTATTGAAAAGTTTTAATGTTTGACCTCATGGAAGTGAGAGGTAGGATTGTAGATGTTGTAGCCTTTTCTACTTCTTTGATATGATTTTCTTATATTTACTGTAACTTACCAAGCATATTCCAGATATCTTATTGGAAGACTGCTTACAATTTTGATAAAATTATGTTTTAGCTTGCATTGCATCTTAGTTGCTGGATTTGTCTTGAATGAAAACAGTCACTATTATCAATCTGCTAGTAAGCAATTTAAATGGAAGTTTATATATAAAACACATTTTATATAAGTTTATATATAATACACATTTGTATTTTTACATCCATTTTGACATATCTGAAGCATTACTCAAGTATTCATTAAGATTTTTTTCACCAAATAGTACTTTACATATATTTTGTAACTCTTTTGTGACAGGGAGTCCTCTTGGTATATGATATTACAAATTATCAAAGCTTTGAGAATTTAGAAGATTGGTATACTGTGGTGAAGAAAGTGAGCGAGGAGTCAGAAACTCAACCACTGGTTGCCTTGGTAGGCAATAAAAGTAAGTTATTACTGCTTATTTATGTATGGTACAGTTTACTTGCTTTTGTGGACAGAATGTTTGTGTTACCCCTCACCCCCAATATATATGTCGAAGACCTAATCCCCAGAATGATGGTGTCTAAAAGTGGCGTTTTTGGGAGATAATTAGGTCATAAGAGTGGAGCCCTTAAGAATGACATCTGGCAGGGCGCAGTGGCTAATGCTTGTAGTCCCAGCACTTTGGGAGGCCAAGGCAGGGGGATTGCTTGAGGCCAAGAGTTTGGGACAAACCTGGCCAACATGGTGAGACCCTTGTCTCTATTTAATTAAAAAAGAGAATGGGATTAATGCCTTCATAAGAGACACGAGAGAGAGAATAATTCTTTCTGCCATGTGAAGATAGGCAAGAAGCTGACTGTCTGTATACCAGGAAGAATGCCCTCACTGAATCCTGAATCTGTCAGTACCTTGATCTTGGACTTTAGTTACCAGAAGTTTGAGAAATAATGTTTGTGGTTTAGGCCATAGTCTATGTCATTTGTTATGGCAGCCCAAACAGAGGACTTATTGAGACATTTGCCTATCCTGTAGTTTTAATTCCTACAAAGAAAGGTTTGATATTTGGAAACAGCTTTTCTGGAGTGAGCAAATTATTTGAGTAGAAAATTCCTAAGAGTGTGCACAATCTTTTCAATAACCGTTTTGCTGCATGGTCTATCATAACTGCTCCACTGCTTTGGTCAATTCCTGTGAAGGTAAGTTTAGGTCTGACAGTGTGTGTTTGGGCTTCCTGTGGTCTAAGAAAGCAACATGGACTATTAAGAACAGCAACACAGCTGCAGATTTTATGATATTGCATTGCAGTTTCAGCTCTGTCCCAGAGGTTTTGAGCAATACATTTCATTAAATGATCCCCTATTTTAGGTAAGAAAGAAGTGTCTACATTGGAATTTTATATGCATTGTTTCTTGCTCCTGTCTCTTATAAACTACTTCTTCTACATTTTCGGGTTTGTTCTGAAATATAATTTTTTTTTTTTTTTTTTTGAGAAAGAGTGTATTAGGGAGAAAAGAAGTTCTTGGTAAAAACTATGGGTTTGCTAGTAATTTTGAGACCTGTCTCTTGGGCTATGATAGATAGCAGAGAAAAATTATAAAACTGAACTCAATACATGACTGTTTTTTGGTTCCTAGTTCTGCAATGCAGTGACTTAGAAAAAGAGACATTAATAAAGGTTTTCAAATATAGTCATGTGTTGTTTAACAACAGGATATGTTCTAAGAAATGTATTGTTAGTTTCATTGTGTGAACATTATAGAGTATATATTAGGGTTCTCTAGAGGGACGGAACTAATAGGGTAGATGTATATATGAAAGGGAGTTTATTAAGGAGAATTGACTCACATGATCACAAGGTAAAGTCCCACGATAGGCCATCTGCAAGTTGAAGTGCAAGGAAAGCAGTAGTGGATCAGTCCGAGTCCCAAAACCTCAAAAGTAGGGAAGCTGACAGTGCAGCCTTCAGTCTGGCTGAAGGCTGAGAGCCTCTGGCAAACCACCAGTGTAAGTCCAAAAGTCCAAAAGCCAAAGAACTTGGAGTTTCATGTTCAAGGGCAGGAAGCATCCAGCACAGGAGAAAGATGGAGGCTGGAAGACTCAGCAAATCTGCTTTATTCTAGCCATGCTGGCAGTTGATTAGAGCGCCCACCTAGATTGAGGGTGGGTCTGCCTCTCCCAGTCCACTGACTCAAATGTTAATCTCCTTTGGCAACACCCTTAGTGACAGACCCAGGAACAATACTTTGCATCCTTCACGCCAATTAAGTTGACACTGAATATTTACCATCACATAGAGTGTATTTACACAAACCTATATGGTATGGCCAACTACACACCTAAGCTATATGGCACAGCCTATTGCTCCTAGGCTACAAACTTGTATAGCATGTTACCATACTGTAGGCAGTTATAACACAATAGTGAGTATTTATGTGTGTAAGCATAGAAAAGGTACAGTAAAAATATGGTATAAAAACTCCATTATAATCTTATGGGACCACCATCATATATGTGGCCCATTGTTGATAGAAACATTGTTATGCAACACATGAATGTATGTGAAATATTGTATGACTCGATGTTTCCCAACTTATTTGAGGTCAGAAAAAGAGAAAATTACTTCAAATTTTACCATGGAGAATTTAAGTTAGGTATTATTTCCTGACTACAAGGGTTGTTAAATCAATACCTACATACATTACCAAGAGAATTATCTTTTCCAAAGGTCTTAAAAAATGTAGTACATTTCTTTTTCTCTGTAATTGTTTAGGAAGCAGTGCTTCCTGAAAGACCAAACCAAGATTTCTGTATTATGTGGCTTTGCACACTGGATGAGCATTTAATAAGTTCAAGCTTAATTTAAAACCATGATGACACAGGTGTGAATGTCATTTCTCTGAGGAGTTAAAAATACAGGCATTATCATATGCTCTGGAAAATAGTGTTACATATCATGAAATGTTATGGCTTGGGTAGAAATTGTAGTTTGCTTTTTAAAACCTTTAGTTAAATTTTGCTCATCTGTTTTGCAAATGATTCTTTTTAATTGAGCAAATCAGATGCTTTTCATTTCATTGAAAATCCCCCTTTGGCAAATCATGTTTTGATGAGCTTAAGTTCTGTTTCTGGGTTCAGCTTCTCATTTTAGTTGTCATACAAAGCGTTGACTTATATTATGGTTAAGTATGTGCTTTATAAAGGAGGCTTCACATTACCTTATGAGAAATTATAGAGTGTCTGTGGGAGAGGGGTTATAATTTGTTTTAATTTTTTTCAGGATATAATCTAACTACCACTTGGGATAATGGTGTAGTGATGCATAATTATATACATTATGTTATGTGTATGCTGTCCTGTGAGGCATCCACTGTTGGTCACTGTCAAAGACAGGCTGTTAGAGTAGATGGGCTATTGGACTGGACTGGTGGTGGCATGCCCAGGTTTTAAAAACAAATATTTGTACAAGTTATTTGAATTTATGCAAGAAATTGATGCAATGTTATGTTGGAGATTTAATAGCATAAAAGACAAGACTTTTTTTTAGTTTTATTTTTTTTTACTTTTGGCATAGCTATAACCCCTTTTTTGTATGTATTTATAATATACTCTTTCAGAATGAGATTATATATCAGTATATGCAGTCACACAGAATGTTATATATGTAAGATAAAGAGATTATAGATAAATATTTTCCTGAATATTATTTACTACATAATCTGTCACTGACGCAATTTTATGTGATCATGTAATGAAAGATCCTTCTGCAGTTAAACCTATTAGGGCTTTAACCCTAAGTCTCCTGAATATATTATGATTTCTATTTCCAAATTAATGTTATGTTGGTATGGTATAGTAGTATGTATTTATTTTCTTTTGTGGGGGATATAATTATATTAAAAAGCAATACAATTAACAAAGATTTTTCACACTGGTTAAAGGCAAAGCAAGAGATGTGATGGGAATACATGTGAAGCTGGATTATTATCCTCATTACATAAACATAGTCATCTTCTTCCTAAATGTGGTTTTAAAATTTATCATTGTGTACCTTTCTTTACAACTTAGGTAGAATGCATATGTTGAAAAGAAATGTGTAGACTGTGGAGATACTGGTAGCAGTAGCCAGCTTTTAGTTAGTAGAAGGAGGGAGAGAAAAAGAGAGGGTGAATACACATCTCCATACACGTTACAAGATTATTTGCTTTTTATTAAAATATATTAAACCTTCAGAAATTTGGGCTGAGGATAGAGGATATTCTGATACAAAGATGAATTATGGACTCATTTTTATGAAAAGTTAAATTTTATGGTTAAATATCCAGAGTAACTAGAGTAGGTTAATGAAATGGCAAATAGAGGAAGAGGCTTCTTTTAATGAAGTGAAAGAACGATTGGCAACTAGTACATTATGTCAATATATAATTCTTAAAAATTAACATTTATTAAAATGAAGTTTTCTGTGTTCCGTTTTTAAAGGCTATCAGATGCTAATTAGTGTTATTTTGTTTTACTGTATTGAGGTCATAGAGCTTTGGATTTAGACAGACTTTGCTTACAAGCCCATTTTCTTCACAGAAGAGCAGTGTGACATCATACAAGTTACTTTACGTTTTTATGCCTCAGTTTCCCGCATCTGGAAATCAGGGTAATAGTTTATGTTGGATAAAGTTGATTTAAAGATTAAATGAGATACTGTGTGAAAAGCACTGTGCTTGTGGTCTTTTGCATAGTAAGTGCCCAGTAACTATGAATTAGTTTATTAATCATAATGGCCTTTTAAAAGTACTGAGCATAGATAGCTTCAACTTGATTTATCACAAATTGCAAATTAGTAGAGCTAAAATTCATGTTCTGTGAAACTTTCCTGGAGAAAATGTTTATTAGAGAATTTCCTTATTACCATCTTATTTCTGTTCTCCCCTACCCCACCCCACCAGAGATTGATAGTTCTTATATTATGTGTTGGGTAGGGCCATTCTTTCATTGAACATTTTTGAGGGTCTGCTATGTGTATTAAGCTAGCCGTTGTTAATTTGCTGAAAGGTTGAGACAAAGAAAGTCTTTAAGGAGTGATGGGAACCTGCCAACTAGATCTTAATCTTATTCTCTGCCATCTTCGAATTAAAAAAAAAATGTCTTTGTTTTGCTCTATCTGGTTGTTGATATTAATAAATACACTTATGGACTTTAGCAAGAGAGCTTTAGCAAGATGACTGAATAGAGAACCTGGCACTTGGTGAGTGGAAGCCCAGAAGGGCAGTGTGGAGACACCCAGCCTCTGCAGCTCCGTCTCCCCTTTCCAGGTCAGATTGGTCCACAAACAGGAGAGACTTCCCCTTGTGGGGAAAAGGTAAGCAGAAGATTCCTACTAGTCTCCGTTGCTACCACAAACATCTATATTACTTACTACAGGAGAATCCCACAGTTCTTGCAAACCCTGACTCTAATCTGGAGAGCTCC